TGCCGGCAAATCCTGGAGGGCAACTGCAGTTGAAGCCATTGATTAGGTCGATGCAAGTTCCGTTGTTCAAACAAGTAATATTGACACAGTCATTTATATCTGCAGGAGAGAGGATCAAAGATATTAAAAAAAAAAAAGAAAACGAAATGTACCTTTCAGCTAAGGTACATTAGACTTCAGCAAGAGTCAAAACACAACTAGTAAATATAAATGTTGTTCTAGAGGTTGATGGAGAAACGTGTCTATAAATAAGTCACTTTATCGATCAAGCAGGGAAATTGAAATTTGTGGTTGGGTATCTATAAGGAAAAGTAAAAGTTCAGCGTGATACTTATTACTTACTTTTCTTTCAAAGTAGTTTTTAAATCTTCTCGGTTAGATTTTTTTTATTCTAGTGAACTCAAAGAAGTAAAAGTCAATGATATAATACCTAAAATCAGCACAAAAGCTTTATGCTGATTACCGTTCCCACTTGCAATTTGCGTTAATAGTGTGTCACCTGTGATTGTATTATAGTTAGCAGCAACATTGTTTCAACTCAGTATTTCTTACTCGTTTCGCAGTCTTTTCCGGTGAATCCTTTCACGCAGATACACTTATATCCATTTTCCTGGTACAGCGAAATGCATTTTCCTGTGTTCTTACAGGGGGAACTGTCACAAGGAGACTACACAAAGGAAAGGATACGGCTGTAAGTAAAGACCATTTCATGGCAAAGTCAAAATATCCAGTAACGTGACGCATATCATTTATCTATATTAGACGTATGCTGAATTTAAGGCAAATTCAGCTATTGACTTTCGTCGATCAACTTGAGCTCCAAGTTTTAGTTACATGTAGCATTAAGTAACACAATTATAATAATTCCACCTGCGGGTTGTTGGGTTTGGGTTGGCTATATCATCTCCATGGAACAGGTGCGAGTTGAATAATCGTTTTATTTAGCTAGTACAAATGCCCACAAAATATCGATGAATCTTCCGGACTTTATTTTGTTACTACAAATGAGAAAACACAAGGCACTTCCACTTTTCAGGCTAGCAAACTGCTGTCATTAGTCATATCTGTGTCTAAGCGAACGGAATGACTGAATGAAAAAATAAATAAATAAATAAATAAAACATCTTAGCGGTGAACACTTTCAAAAATTCATCAGGATTCTCCTTTCTCGGCACCTAAAATAATAGCAGATGATTTGAAATTTGAATTTCATTTTTAGCGCAGTTACAAACTAAAATTCCCTTCGGTTAGCATGCAATAAGCTTGTGTAATTAAATGAATTTAACTCGCTTGGTCATCAAATTATTTCAGCGAGCCGCCGGCTGGTTTTGCTGAACTAGAACAGAAGCTATATCTAATGCCTGCATTAATCGCCCCAGTGAGTGGGTTCACAGCCTGTTGTATTCTCAGCTAGTTGCTTCTGGTCAATGCATTCTTTTGACGCAGCCCAGGATGTAGGATGAACAGGCTGCAGAGATATATCGGCGAGTGGCCTGACGATGGCATAAAGAGCCACTGCTTGGCCTCTGTCGTAGCTGGTCAGGATATCTTTTAAATGCATTTTTTCTGCGTTTTTCTATGAATTCTAATGAAACTCCATCTTATATTCCTTATACTTTGTAAATTTCTTCGTCCAATTAAATTGCATTTTCTTGCATTCTAAGAATTAAAACGTTTTTTTCTGGCACAATTCTTTCCTCCTGACTTTCAGTTGGCCTTTAAGGAGGCTGAACACAGTTTCTTTAGAAGTACTTTATCATTTTTATGCGAATGTTAACATTTTTATCAGGAGGAGATATGCAGCCAATAAGTGAACAAAGACTGGTTCGAAAATTATCTGCTTTTGTCGCCTTTGATATATACATGTAGCGTGCTTTCAACGAATGCTTAAGAAGCAGTCTCCTAAAAGCGTTCCACTCGATTTTGGACTCGAAAAACTTTTGCCTCATAATTTTACCATCAACACTACTATCCATCCTGATAACGAAATTGCAGTTAGAATGAGGAAATTGTTTATTTTACTGCCATTCCCACCATTTCATTGCTGGACGACCGTTAGCGGCTAAAATATGCAAACTTTAGTCTCTGTTATACAGGTTTTTTAACGATCGTTCTAAAGTTCTTCGGGTCATCAAATCCTAGACTATTGCACTCATTTGGAAGCTTATTACTTCTTCTTACTGTTCCAATATCGTTTAGCCGTTATCTTTCTGTAATCAGCAAAAACTGGTCGTCTTTATTTCGCTAATCCAATTAAGAAAGCAAACTGCACGAGAAAATGCCTAAAAAACATCTCAAAATTCTCAAAAGTGGCACCTAAACTAGACCTAAAAACATGTTTTAGTTAAAGATTAATAGCTATTTTGTCAAGTCATGCAATAAAACGCCGACAAATCTGCTAATAACTAGATTTTGTGCAAACCTAATAAATTCGAAATTTTAGGCTTGTTTTCAATCATCCATGTTGAACTTACGGGTATACTGCGTAGGATCTCAAAGTAGGGACATCGGTAAGATAAAAGAAGGAAACCTATTTAAAATAAGACGCACGCGATCTAGGAAAGGGGATAGCGGCGGGAAAAAAATATGGTCCTCTCTGTCCCTTCTCCCGCTGCACTACTATCTCGGAGCCTATATAACAGGTTACAAAAATCGAGGTGTTTCTCGAAATAAGGACGATGAAAGAAAAGATAAAAAATATATATATATTGGAAATATTAAAATAAGATCAAGTAAGGGGAATTTTGCGCAGCTCTAACAAATGTAAAGCAGACTTTGATAAGTCCCTTAATTATTGTCTCCGTTTTCTAGAAAACTTGATGCTTGCTTTTTCATAGTGTAGAACTTCTACCGCCAGTAACATGTATTTCTTGTGACGCAATAACAAAAGCTGTTTTTAATAACAAAAACACGAACGGTTCATCAGTTACAGGTGGCAGGCCTATCTTTGAATGTGCGTTGCTATGGCAATATCCTATTGAATCAGGCAAACACTAGCATCAAAGTGGTTGGCGTGTGTGAAAAGAACGAAGAACTCGAAACAATAAATACTGTTGCGACAAGGCAGTTTACTCGTTTAAATTCATTTATTGTCAGGAACGTTTAATGGATACGAATTTCCTCAGTTGAATGTTCCCATAGGTTAACAGGTCAGGTACTTTGTGTTGCCATAGTAATGTCCAAACAGAACAAGAAAAGCACTAGAAAGTGAGAAAGTTTCGGGGCCTCAGTTAACTTTCAGCACGAAAACTAAAGACATTCATTGTCTTCACTATATGAGGTTAATTACTTCAACGAGCCGAACCCTAGATTAAATTCAGCTTACTGTAAACCTACAAAAGTTGGGATTAAATTTTCTTTGTTTCCCTTTCGCTTTGTTTCATGGATTCAAAAAGCAACGAATTTGACATACATGTCGATGCTTAGATGACATCGATATAATTAAGGACGCAATATACATTTTTATCTTTTGCACTCCCCCGTGGGTTTGCTCACTTGAGTATTTAGTGAGGTTTTGAGAGTAACGCTGTTTCATTTACCCAGAAATTTGCACAGATGCTACCGAATTTCAAGGCGTTGTGCTGATATAGTCTAACCGGCGAAAGATTAGCCTAAAATAGGAATATTAAAACGTTTCTGTAACTTTTAAGGTAATCCAAGTATGCAAACAAATAATAAGCAAATTCATGATATGACAAATGTGTTTTAAGAGCTGAACGCTTTTGTCGAAAAATATTTCAGTCGAGACCTTTGTCTGCAACTCCCCCCTCACTAACGTTTAGGACATCCGAACATAAATATATCGATTTCATCAAGTATGTTTGGGCATCAGCAGATGGTCAAATTAAAGGTTTAACAGAAAGGTTTAACTTGGTCGTAAGACTTTTATAAGGTTTTTTTATTTATTTATTTTTTATCCAAACTCATTAGCCTATTCCTTTGCATTTGAAGCACAACGTAATCCACTGCATTCAAGATTTTCCAAGCGAAGAGATAAATTTTGATTTACAAATGCTAACTTTCGAAACTAGCGAGAGTCAAAAGAAAATAATTACACAAACAAAACAAGAAGAAACTTTTTATTTTCTCCAGAAGGAACATTTTTCATTAATTAGATGTTTGACTTACCGGAATATAAAAGTGATGAAACTCTTTACTGGCGTTGAACTTGTCCGAGTTGTTAAACTTGTCCGATGGCAGGAGTTCGCAAAGAAGTTTGCCGTTGACATCAGGGAAGGCAGCCACATTGTAGGAAAAACATGAGGAATTTTCTAAACAGGCGTAGCCACAATCGTTTTCGTTTTGAATAAGATTCCGTCCAATACTTGTGATATTCAGGTAGGAAAATTCACTTATCATGAAGTTGACGTAGAAAAAGTTGCCAATCGATCCTTGACTGAAAGCTGTAAGGAAAAAGTAAAAAAAAAAATGAAAGCTTTAGGAATGTACTGAAAATATGTTCCAAGGGACCCAGACTACTAAAAATACAGACTACACGAACACAGGTTGGAGTGTCACCTGTGGAAATACTTGGAAATGTAGCAAAGATCCCCATTACGACGACATAGTTTCTGAGAAGTAGTGGATAGCCTTCCATGTTTTTAGAGTAAGTCGCAGCGCAGTCGGCCACGGTCTTGTTCAAAAATTTACCTTTGTTTGAAGAAAGCTTCAGTTGTCTAGGTCTGAATGCGTTTGTTAGCTTCCTTGCTGTCAAAACAGACTGAAATTCGATCTTTTTATTGCATTGATAGACACGTGGTGTTGCACCTCTTTGACAAACTGCTATACTCTAAGTAAATTTTCAAAAAGGCTTCTATTTGACAAAATTAATTCCAACTAATTGAATACTGAAGACAGTTTTCAAACAATTTTTTAGGCAATTAAGCAAATTCCTTTCTTATTAGGTTCAGAGCCAAATTATTGGAAATTTGTTCTTTCCTTTTCTGAAAAGGGCTATCTTTCCACCCTATAGTCCAGTCTTTTGTGACGGTTTAGAATCTAACTTCGCCAAGTGTAGGTAATTATGCAAATCGAAAAAAAAATGTTGACGTGTAAAATAATTTCATTAAATGGTCTGAATTTAGCTTAAAGTTGGAAATCATCTGTATAAAGGCTTGTTAATATTGATGATTCCTAAATGTCAATAAATAAATGATAGTTGTAGGGATATAGCTATCTAAAAACACGTACGTACGCATGTGCGTACTTGAAAAGGGTTAGTTAATAAAAGCAAAACCCAGGGTAACGACATGTTTACAGCAAAACCTTCACAACCTGTTAACCTCCCTGAGTTTCAAACTAAATCGTACATCAAAGGAAAAGAAACCAACAAAACAAAACAAAACAAAACAAACAAAAAATACAATGTGCTATTAGAAATCGAAAGGAACCGTTGTTACGTCTCGTTGCCATGGTAGCAAAACTTTTAGATCACAACAAACCTTGGTCCTTTAAATACGGCAGGAAAAAAAATGATATGTGTGAATTTTGGGGGAATGATTGCACTCATGATCAAGAACAGAACGGCAGCCCATCGGCTTTTTGTCAGTGGTTCGAAAATGAAAATGACCGTCAGGCTGTATCAAGAAAGATTGTTGAGATTCAGAAATTTTGCTTCCATGGTAACGTGGCGTTTCTCCTTTCTATAAGGAAGGGTACAATAAGAGTAGGAAACTAGAAGAAAGTGACAACGTGTACTGAGATTTAAATTTCCCTTGCAACATGGGCCGCCGACTAACTTAAAATTGCTTCTGCTTAGCAGTTTGGTTTAATAAGAAAGTCAAAAAATTCCAAAGGCGTATTTGATAGATGATGCTCCGTATAATCGGCTCCGTCCACAGGGGGATAATTTTGACATCCATTCATTATAAAGAGGGCATGTCTGTTGTCCTCTCATCCATGACTCCTTCCATCCTTTCTTCCTTGTTACAAATGGTCCACCTTATGAGGGGAACCTAATATCACTAAGTTTACAAGGCACCTATCAAAAAGGGTCATGTAGCAGCTTTCCTATCCCTAAAAGCCAATTGGTTCGATACACTGACCGTGAAACAATGGGAAATAATCATAAACAATAATGTTTTATTGTTTTCTTTGACCAATGAGGAAACACCTTACCAGCAGCTCCCACATCACTGATCAAAACAGTGGTTCGCGAATGGCTGCAAGCAAATGTATGATGTCTCGTTGAAGTAACATCATCAGGATATTTGAAGAAAAAGTTAAATCGATGACAAAAACTTATAATGACATCTCTAACTTATATATAAACAAACGACATGCCAACCAGAAATATCCAGGGAACCCAAGTAAGCCGTGCGAATGTAATTATTTTAGAAAACAACATCTGGCAGTAGATCAATGCCAATCAAGAGTGCATAAAACATAGCCTATTAAAGATCGGATCTACCTTTACAGCTTCATTGACTAACTTTTAATCTAAATACTAGCCGCATTAAAAGTCATGAAAGCAGTACTGTCAGTTGCCAACAGTAGAAGGGGTCGATTTGTTGCCCCTCACACTGCCAAAGCAAGGTAACAACAGTATTCGCTGAGTGTACTTTTAAGCTTACCTCACAGAAACATCCTTCAGTCGACAAATCAAACGATCCAGGCTCCACAAAGTAATGCAACCAGTTGAATTTTAAAACTAAAAATACTTGTATCGGGGAACCTCGCGAGGCTTCACTTATGTCCAGAAATGCATGCAATGGCGAAAATGGCGAAACTGGCGAAAAATCGCCAGCCGCTGGCGATTTGAATTGGATGCCAAAAGTGGCCCCTTGGAGGCTGGCGATTTTGGCAAAAATGGCGATTTTGGCGAAATTGGCGATTTTGGCAAAAATTGCCATGCATGCCATGGCGAAAATGGCGAAAAATCACCAGCCTCTGGCAATTTGAATTGGATGCCAAAAGTGGCCCCTTGGAGGCAATTCGGGCCAAATTGTCTCTGAGATATTAGCCCAGTTATGCTGTGACGATTCCATACAAATCCTTCTAAATTTGGCTTGGTTCATAAGATTCGGAACCAGGTAAGATTTAGAAGGATTTGTATGGAGTCATCGGAGCATATCTGGGCTAATATCTCAGAGGCAATTTGCCCCAAATTGCTAATTTTTGGCGAGTAGGCGTCTTGGACGTTGTTCTTTCAGAATAGCTTAACAAATCCCATAATTTCACAAATTTCATTTTCTATGACGTCACACTTCGGTACTCTATTGAACATAAACATTGGATCAAAGCAATAACTTGTTTGTCTCTTTCATAAAACATATCCCATTCAAACTAATTCTGTATCTTTTCATCAACTAGATATATAAAAAGAGAGTGTACATGTTTGTCTCGTTCTTCAAAAATGTGTCCCATTATTGCTTTATGAGGTGGGGCCAGAAATTTAGAAAGTGTATTGTTTTTTTGCGCTGAGACCACCAAACCAATTCTCAATACAATATGTTTCCATTAAATTGCTAATGCTAATGCTCGTCGAAACACGTCACCCGGCCTTTTTACCTTCTATTTTAACAATTGCCTGAGAGTCCCTGTGAACGACATTAATCGTTTTGCTTACATAGAGGAGCTATAAACATAGAGTGACCACCAAAGTCGGCTGGGAATGACACTAATCGTTTCTACTTACATAGAGTAGTTATCCAAAATCGACTATTTCAACATGGTCGCCGCGTCTGTATAACAACTACTAAACCTTATACGTTCATGTTCTGTGAAACTGCAATGAACCAGCTCTTTTATACATACTTGTACGATTGAACGCCATTATAACAAACAGGATGGATATACAAGGCAATACGGACCATCTAATTATCTGAATGCGTAGCCAAGAACCAACCTGGATTCCTCATAAAATATAATGTTGAACTGTCGCTATTCAAACAATGCCTACAAGCCTGGAAAATTAAGGATACCTATCTTGGATTTTTTGGTAAGAAAGTTGCCATGAACATTACGAAGATTACCATTTATTGATAATTGAATACAACTCGTTGGCCATTCGATTTGAATTGAGCAAGAAATTAGTTATAAGTGGTAATTCCCGACCGAACACTCTTGTGTGGGACGAATTTCAAATCACAAGAGGTTATCAATTAAAGGTAAAAGCATTAAAAACAGATTAATGACACTTAGTGTCATTATTAGTATACAATTATACTATTGGAAACATTTTTATATTAATATGTGGTTAACTATTTGGCAATTAATAGCCATTTCAAAAGGGACCCTTTGCTATGTCATTTCAATTTGTCTTGACAAATTAGGTATTTCATCGAGTAATTGCCATTTCTGCCAAAACACGTTTTAAGAACGAGGCCAACATGCACTCTCTATTTTTTTTTTATTTGTGGTTGATGAAAAGATACAGAATTAGTGCACGCCATTTTCGCCAAAATCCTCACTTTCCAAAGGGCCCCTTTGCCATCTCATTTGAATTTTTGTTTACAGTTTGGCGATTTTGGCGATTAAGCCATTTTCGCCAAATACGCCATTTTCGCCGAAATCGCCACTTTCCAAAGGGCCCCTTTGCCATCTCATTTGAATTTTTGTTTACAGTTTGGCGATTTTGGCGATTAATTGCCATTTCTGCCATTTTCGCCACATACGCCATTTTCGCTGAAATCGCCACTTTGCAAAGGGCCCCTTTGCCATCTCATTTGAATTTTTGTTGACAGTTTGGCGATTTGGTAATTAATTGCCATTTCTGCCATTTTCGCCAAATACGCCATTTTCGCCGAAATCGCCACTTTCCAAAGGGCCCCTTTGCCATCTCATTTGAATTTTTGTTTACAGTTTGGCGATTTTGGCGATTAATTGCCATTTCTGCCATTTTCGCCAAATACGCCATTTTCGCCGAAATCGCCACTTTGCAAAGGGCCCCTTTGCCATCTCATTTGAATTTTTGTTTATAGTTTGGCGATTTTGGCGATTAATTGCCATTTCTGCCATTTTCGCCAAATACGCCATTTTCGCCGAAATCGCCACTTTGCAAAGGCCCCTTTGCCATCTCATTTGAATTTTTGTTTATAGTTTGGCGATTTTGGCGATTAATTGCCATTTCTGCCATTTTCGCCAAATACGCCATTTTCGCCGAAATCGCCACTTTCCAAAGGACCCCTTTGCCATCTCATTTGAATTTCTGTTTACAGTTTGGCGATTTTGGCGATTAAGCGCCATTTCTGCCATTTTCGCCAAATACGCCATTTTCGCCGAAATCGCCACTTTGCAAAGGGCCCCTTTGCCATCTCATTTGAATTTTTGTTTATAGTTTGGCGATTTTGGCGATTAATTGCCATTTTCGCCAAATACGCCATTTTCGCCGAAATCGCCACTTTGCAAAGGGCCCCTTTGCCATCTCATTTGAATTTTTGTTTATAGTTTGGCGATTTTGGCGATTAATTGCCATTTCTGCCATTTTCGCCAATGCGTGCATTTCTGGACATATCTCCGAGGCTTGTGGGAGGGAGAGTGGCCTTGATAAAATGATAGGGATGGGAGGGAGGGACAAAAAAAGGTAATTGTGTAACTGGGGAGGGCAGGTTTGAAAACATGTTCTCATATTAGAAGCTAACTTATACTTAATCTCCTTTTGGTTGGAGAAAAATTTGAAGTCAGTCTCCTCACTTAATTAAAAAAGGAAGGGGTGGGATCTGCATGGTAATACTGAGAATTGGGTTGCTTAAATTTCATCCCATTTGT